AAAAAAATGATTACTTAAGTAACAAAAATGCATATATAAAAATCAACCAGTTCAATAGTTCAATGTATATGTAAAAATCAATTGATTAAAATCAACCGGTTCATACATGCTATATAAAAATGATTAGTTAAGCAACAAAAAGATCCATATTCAGCATAAGGTACCTGGATACACATGCAAGTATAAAAGAAAATGCATATCCATAATTTTCATAACTCAAGAAGATGGGAAATTTGTTAAGGGACCAGAAAATGAAAAATATTGGTGATTAGCTCTGATCAACTTAATCAAGACAAAAATACCTTAGAAAAATTAAGCGCTAAGGGAACACAAGGGCTGAACGTGCATCTCACACAAGAGAACGAAAATCATTAAACAAGGTCCGCAGCAACATATATCAGCAGTAAAACAACACCAACTAATTGGAGGACTCCTCGAATATTGACTACATAACCTCCAAATTTCATAATTGCAAATAATCAATACTGAGATTAAATTTTACCTTAACGCTTCTCCAACCAGAGTTTCTTCTTCCTATTTTTTCGCAGAAAGTTGAATCAAATTAAACAGCAACTAAACCCTAGCTTGTTAAACATGAATTAAAATTATTGCATACCTCTCTTCATGCCTCGTTGATGTCGCGTCGAGATCCGACTCAGATTTTGATGGGAGCTTGAGTTTTTTTTTTTTTTTGCGATGGCGTCTGGACACCGTCTAATTGAACGCCGCGACCAGTTTTTGAGCGAAAATAAAATGCGCCCTCTCACCTTCTCTGTCAAGCTGTGTGTGGGTTATTGGTGGCCTGGGAAGAATGAAAAAATCTCTCATTTCAAATGACCATATTGACCTGAAAAAGCAGGATAAAACAAGCCATGTATGTCAATATTGGCAGATAAAGCAAANNAAAAAAAAAAAAAAAAAAAAAAAATACAAAAATGGGTGTGAGAACAAATAAAAAACCGGAGGAAAGGAGAAGCGAAAAGGAAGCAGCATACATGACCACGTGTCGTTTTTTAAACAACTCTTATATGAAAAAAAAAAAAAATACCACTATTCGTATAACTTTTAATTTGCACCAGGCCTTATTCTTTAGAAATAAAAGAACAATAACAGAGCATATGTGCAATTGTTGAATAGACTTCATGAGATGATATGAGGTTTATGTGAAAAGCCTAAGCTCACAGAACCAAGGCAATTGAAGGATGTTGATGTATATACGTTAGGCCTGTCGAGAAAACACGAATCAAGATTGTAAAGAAAAGATTAGGTTCAACAGTTATAATTACCGAAATGAAATAAAGTGGATTGTGCTGCTCGTCGAGTCTCTCTTACAGTATCGCCGGCTCGCCACCCCGTCAGGTCTCCATAATTCTAGCTGCCTTGCTAGGTCTCTCTCTATCTCTCTGTGGCTGGCTCGCAGCCCAATGGGTTTCCCTATATCTCTTTATCACCGGCTTGAAGTGTTGCTGGTTTTTCTGCCCAACATAGTCTACCAGTACGTGGCGACACCTGTGAGCTTGACCCGGGGTTTCCATTCCAAAACGGTACTGTACAAATAACAACCATATATGCGAGCCCCAACAAAGCAGGAAAACTTGTCCCAGAGAAAAACATTCTTTTCGTTTGGAAATGAAAAGTATCCTAGTTAAGAACTTGTATTGGCGCTGAGCCAACACCCACTATAACATGGCCCGACAACATAACTGTACAATACTAAATGAAAAAGCCCTTAGGCAAAACAAAGCAGGACACGGTGTCTAACCATATGTAGACCTATGGACGAAAAATCAAATAAAAAAAAAGAAGACAAAAGGACCTTATCCACTGTCCGAAGAAGAGGAGGCCAATCGGCACGTCCTAGACTTTACAACAGAAAATCAAACGGTGTTACAGGGCCAAAGAAACGATGCAGTTTCAGCACCTAACACTTTAACGATCATCCAATGACTCGAAATTACGAATGGTGTCAAAAGAGCATTCTCTCAAACCGTAAAACAGGCAAACACATGTGACATAAGCTTACCAAATGCATAGGTCATCGAATTATACTCATTTCGCACAATTTTGTTACCATCTGCATACCAGACGATCTCGTGTCATCTATTATATTCTCGATCACTGCAACCAAAAAGAACAATTCAACTAAGAACCCTAGCTTCAGTCTCCCCTAATTCAATTCAGAAGTTCCAAAAAATCAACCAAACCAAATTAATAATTAAGTGAAAACTCACTTTAAAGGCCGAAACCTAATTAGTCACTGAAATGCTATTCCCTCATCTCAGAAGCACTATCCGTGGGCTCGTTGGCTAGCTGGTCGTCCATCACCGGGTAACTCGATGTCTGGCTGCGAGTATATGTTCGAAAATATTATGCACTATTTTATCCATCCAACAAAAAACAAAAAGCCTTACAAAATGAAAGAATATAACCAACAAAAAAATGATTACTTAAGTAACAAAAATGCATATATAAAAATCAACCAGTTCAATGTATATGTAAAAATC